TTCAGTTAAGAAATTGTCTAGTCCTAAGCTTTACTTTTTTGGAAATTATTTTTTTATTAATGCTTGTATCTCATTGCTCATTATTGATCTGTGTAGGTTTCCTATGTCCTCCCAATTCAATTTTGTCAGGTTTTATGTGGACACCACTTCTTGATAGCAAGAAGAGTCAAGGCACAAAAACTAAGCAGCATGCATAATGATGGGATGGATCGGGAGTAGTTTGTTAGAAGACCATTTTTGTGAAAAGCCAAGCAAAAAAATAACTGTTGTTTAATCTAGGAGATGGAAGAATAAATGGAAAAAATAATCTGAATATATCAGAGACATATGCAGAAGATTATTGTGAGAGAGAAAAAAGGATTCAGGGTACCTTCTAGGTTTTTAGCCAGCATAACTAGGCAGGTGTTTCCTCATATCAATAAAGAAAACCAAAAGGAGAAGCAGGTTTGGGAAATATAAATACAGTTCAGATGAGTCCCCAGGGGTCCAAGAGTGTGTCACCTTCCTTTCTTGGAGAAGAAGCTCTTCACCCAACCCTCTCTCTGCTCTGACCATGTTTTCCAAGTGGAAAGTGAGATCACTTGTATGACCCTACTTTCCTAGCAGTAGTGATTGACCAGGTGTTGGCGTCTGATCCAGACAGGGCTAATGAGAGTGCCCCAATCCACATCCATTGCCAAACATGTCTACCTCATACTGCTGTGTTGGTTGTGCTCTGGAAAAGCCTGTCTGGTAGGGAAGAGTGGTGATTAGAATCCAGCCCATGTTCTGCAGGACAAGCTATGCATCTGTGGAGCTGCAGATACTCAAAGGATGGCACTTTTTCATATTTCACAGAGGTGCTATATGTGCTGCCAGTCCCTGGGGACTGTTCCAGGGATGGGCCCATGTGCCATGTAAAGTAACTTTAGGTAAGCTGGATTCTCCTGGAATTTATTCTGTTGAAGTACATGGGAAAATGAATGTTTTACTCAGGTCCTAAAATTGTATAGATAGGAGTTTGTAGCTATCCCTGTCCATGTGGATATGGAGGAAACAACTGAGAGATAATGAAATGGTACATCAATGGACTCGGGAGAGGGAGATGAAAGAGAAAAAGAGCTGTTAGAATCAGAGCTCCCTGTTTCAACCAACCCTACCCTTCTTGGGACTTGGAAGTTGGGTTTCTCCATTAATTCTGTGATTGCCCCTGTATTCTTCTGATTTAATTTCCCCTCTTTTGCTTAAGTTCAAGTTGAGTTGTTGCTCCTTGTAACCAATGCAACCAGTCTTAAACAGAGAAGTTCACGTGTTCATATTTGTAGAAGAGAGAATGGGATGAAAGATAGATCAGAGGCTAAACTGAAAGGATGCAGTGGACAATTTCATGAGTCACATGAGAGAGGGGTGTCCTAGGAGTTCCAGGCTCTTAGCTTCAGAGACTGGAAAGAGGTGGTGATGTCTTTGACAGAAGTAGGCAATCCAGAAAATATTGGACTAGAAGAAAGGAAAATGCATTTTTCCATTTATTGATTTATTCACCAACCTACATTTGGACACTGAGGACTGAGCAGTGGATAAGATGAGTTCATATTTGGATAAAGTCTGTGGGGCCTTATTGACTGATGTACCTACTCTGAGCCAGGCACTGGATATAGAGCTGAGTGTACATAAGTCTAGCAGTGATATCTGCAAGAAGCTGGGAGGAGAGAGCTGGCATTTTGGTTGTAACTATCATCCCCATGGAGATAATTTTGGAAGTGATGGGAGAGAATGCATGGAGAAATCTAGTTCTACAGCCCTTCAGGCCTCGGCTTCATCCATGGGCTAGAGAACAGTGTTGCTTGGGTCTGTGTGACCGAGAGGCAGATGCAGAAAGAACATGGCTTTAGAGGCCCAGTCAGGAGCCAGCCCAGCCTTACTCCTTGGCCCCACCAGGTAGCAGTGTGCATGACCTTGAATGAGCTGGAGCCTCTCTTTCCTTGGCTACAGAATGGGGATGTGAATGTTTATCCCAGTATTAAGTATAAGAAAGCATGCTTGTGGAAGTTCATCCCTTCAACCACAAATAGGTATTGGACACCTACATGCCCCAAGTTCTAGAATAAAGGATTCGAATGGGAGCCAGTAAAAGAGCCTTCATTTAAGAAGGATACAGAACTATTTCTGGCTTCCATAGCTGGGTTCTGACTCCTTTCAAGCATCCCAGGTCTCTGCCCACCACCCATCAATACCAGTCTGCCCCTTGCCTAGACCTTGTGAAAAGCAATATTTTGTTGTGTTTTGTTCTTTTTTTTATGATTAGTAAAGAAAGAGAAAAGCGTGTGTGAGCTGTCCTCTGGAGAGCTGGTTTCCAGAGAGGCAGAAAAAGGGCCCACGTGAACCAAGCTGTTCTTGGCAGCCACCTCCGTGTGCCTCACAGCCAGAGGCTTAAAGCTTTATTTGTGGTTTGGGTTACAAGCAAGGGCGAAAACCCCAGAAAGGAGAGGGGGGAGGAGAAAACATTTGAAAAGTTGAGAAAATTACCCTGCGTTCTCAAGTGCAGGTAATTTGTCTAAACACCTGAGCTCTGTAGAATCCTAGTGGTCTGACTGTGGCTTTAGACCTGGGCTCTCTGGCTCGGTGTCAAGCCTGGGGGACTTTTTTTTTCATACATTAAGCAAAAATACAAAATCACCTTTTACAAGATATTAATGAGTACCTTTACTGCTTCAATGGTAACATTGTTGGAGGTTTTGAAAAAAAAAATACAGGTTCAGGTTTAGGGGTGGTTTTGTTTTGAAGGTTGCTATATAAAGCACTTTGGTCATGGAATGGCACATTTGGGTGTTGAGTCCCAGGACCCCAAGTGAAGGACACAAACCATTTTAGAAATAGAAGAGCCCTCTAAGGGCTCCAAGACCAACCCCTCCTCACCTGGATGATACAAACAAAGCCCAGAAAAAGTAAAATATGTGCAAAGCAACACATCACGCTCATAGTAGAAACAAGTCTGGACCCAGGACTCAGGTCTTGGAAGATTACTCCAGCAGCCTTTGAGGCAACCCAGAGGTGACATTTCCCCTCAGAAACTATGACTAGACTCCCCCCCATGTTGACATTTCTGCAGCAGTGACTTTGAAAGCTGCCTTTTATAGCCCTGGCTTTGGAAGGGCAAACACTGTTATCAGTAAAACAACACAGGTGCCTCATAGAATTGGATCCAGGTGGAGCCAGGCAGGAAGCAAGACCCCCAGACATAGGCAGACATCACCCCATCACCTGTCTGGGTTGGAAGGGCGCAAAGAACTTTCTTGGGAATAGGAGGAGAGGCGACTATGTTGGTGAAGGGCTTGGCTTTGGGGCCAGACAAGAAGGTTCAGTCCCAGAGATCTACTTGCAAATCTCAATGAGCTCCCTGGTTGGGTCTCAGTTTCCTTAGCTATGAACCAGGGAAAGAGAGAGCTCAGTCACATAAGTCACATTTCAAGTGATCAATAGTCTCATAAGGCTAGTGGCTATTGTATTGGACAGTGCCGATCTAGAATTTTCACAGAAAATCTTGCTGGACAATGCTCTTGAGTGTTCTGGGCTCCTGACATTGGTTCTAGATCTCACCAACTGCAGCCACCTGGAAACAGAGGACGGGTCAGTCCAGTTCAGCCCTAAGGGCTCAGCTCTGACATCTAGGACTCCTACCTGTCCCCTCTGCCTCAGTCTGATCAATACTACAGGATTTGGCTTCAAAGTTGGAGAATGACTGAGTGCTCTCCTGAGGCTTCCCTTAGCAGAATCCCAGGGCAGGAGGACATGTGGGGTGAGGGGCAAGAGGCTGGGCAATGCCTCACATGAATATTGGTTTTCAGAGTCTGGAAGACTTGGATGTAAGTTCTGGTTCAGCCACTCAAGTATTAGTGATTCATTAAACCTCTCTGAGCTTCAGTTTTCAAATCAGAGCTTTCCCTGACTTCAAGTCAGATACTTCAGGGATCATGAAAGTAGAAACACTGTGATCTGGAAGAATGAGAAACTTCTAAAAGTAAGGATTTGGCTTCTTCCTTCCTCTGCCTCTTTCTTCACGAAAAAGGGGATTTAGATGGAGGCAGGTGGCCTCCATCTATAAAGAGGTTGCATTGTTTGGAAACATTCTGCAGAAGTCTGGAAGTTAGAAGAACCTCGTAACCCAGAGACAGGAAGAAAGAAGGGAGCAGGAGAGAAAGGAAAAATATTCTTCAAACACCTATTATATTCTAGATACGATGGCAGTCATTTTCAGATATGCGGAGATGATGATAACGGTGGCAAACTTTCTTAAGTACTTATTGTGTGCTAGGTATAGTTCCAAGTGCTTTGGATATATGATTCCTCTTTACAGATGAAGAAACTGAGGCACTGCAAAGTTAACGTCCGTCTCCAAGGTCACTCTAAACTAAGATTTAAATCCCAGCAGTCAGATTGCATGCACAACCACCTCTGCACTGAAAAGGCAGAGCCAGCCCTTAACCCCACACCCCAGCTCCAGAAAGGCAAAGTCACCTTCGTTATTTGACACACTATGCTCCTAGTGATACATTAGCTCTTCCAGCAACTACCACCACTCTGCTGACTCACAGCTCTCTCATGGCCCACTTTCCTATCTGCTGTCCTTTCTTCTACATGGCCTGATTTCTCAAGGCCTAAGTCACATGACACTGGCACTCCAAAGGGCTTCCCCCAGTGGTTACCTTAGCTGATCCACACCTTCTAAGTGTATCTCTTCAAAGCCCCTGAAGGTAGCAGGATCCAGGGGTGGCAGGGAATGCCTTTTGATCCCCCCGCCCCAGGAGAACCACAGTCAGAGGGCTTTTACATAAAGCCAGATCTGATCCACAAGGGCCTGGAAAACACCCTTCCCAGGAGCAATTGCTGTGGCTGCCTTGACTGAGGCTCAGTTTCAGAAGAGTTTGGAAGCTACAGTTCGGTCACACAAAGCATTCGTTTTCACACCGTGGTTTGTCATTTGGGCTTTGAAGACAGATAGGCCTAGATTCAAAACCACTCACCAGCTTTGTGACTTCAGACCAAGTCCCAACTTCCTTAGGCCTCAGTCTCTCTCCGGGAACCTGGAGCCCTGATGGGATTTACTTCATGGTGATGGCAAGTAGGTGAGAGAGAAGGCGGAAGTGAACCGCTGACCCTGGCCTTGGCGCACAGTGAGGGCTCAGCATTGGCTGAAGTTGCTTCAGGGCTGTGTTCTCCCAGTCAAGCATTTGTTTGGCCAATGTTCAAGAGTCTGCCAGGGCAGCTGGGCACCACAGCAGAGAGAACCCAGACACACACAACAGCCAGCACGCAGGATGGGGCTCTGGTGGGTGCAGAGGTTTCTGGCCCAGCCAAGTGCTTTACAGGGATTTGCTGTGGTTCTGCATTTGGACCACAGGGCTCCCCACTGTTCATTCCCCCATTCCTAACACACACACCCCATCTCCTCAGCCGTTTCTGAGTTTGAATCTTTTCAGATCACTCTCCATGTGACCTTGGGCAAATCCCACAACTCATCTCAGCCCATGGCACGTTTCCTATAAAATAGATAAGGATACACCAGGCCAAGCCCTTGTAGTCGATGAGCTGATAACAAATGTGAATGGCCCAGCCAAGCCTGGCATGTGGCAGATGCTCTGTAACTTCTAACTGCATTCCCCACAACCTAGGCCACCAGCCATCCCTCTGATGCTATGTGCCAAGCTTGGGATGGATACTGGGAGGTCAGACATTTTAGGGAATTTCAAGTTTAGTGGGTAAAATAAACATTTGAGCCATTATAGCTGATAGAGAATGCTAAGGGCTGCGATGGAAACATGTATAAAAGGTTAAGAAACGCCAGGAAGGGCACGACACTTTGCCTGGTTGCCTCCGTTTTCCTCTTCTGTCAACTGGTTACTACCTCACGTGAAACGAATCAAGCCAGTTCTACTATTGAGTTTAGTTCTATGCTGAGTGTTTCCACTTAGACTTGTTTCCCATGAGAACTTTGTCCCCTTGACGGACGACCTCTTATCCATTCATTCCTCTGTTCCCAGAACATTGGCAAAGAACAGGTGTCCAATCGACATCAGTTGAGTCAACTGACAAGAAAATTTATTATCTAATTTCATTCCCCTCAGAGCCTAGAGAGGTATTCCCATTTGATAGAAGGAGAGAGAGAGAGAGAGAGAGAGAGAGAGAGAGAGAGAGAGAGAGAGAGAGAAAGACAAGTACCAAGTTCAATGAGGTATTTGGCAGTCAATGACCCAGCCAGATTGTCAGACCCATTGCGGTGACTTTCTGTTAGATCACACAAGCTCAGGCCATTCTGGTTCAGGTGGGGTGACACTCTAGGACTGCACATGACTCACACCTCCCTGTGGGTCCTTGAACTAATCCATTAGTCTCCCGCACTGAATCACAGCTAGGGTGAACTTAAGACCTGAGGCAGGAGCACCTGTTGGACAGGTGTGCCTAGGCATCCCTAAGGCCAGCCAAGGCACAGTCTGGGGAAATCTTTTGTGGAGGGCAGTGGGGCAAAGGGGACAGGACTAGTATAGGGATGTCACTCTGGGTCCACTCCTCACCCCCTCAAGAGTGTCACAGGACAATGTCTGTCCAGTCACTGTATCTGCTGGGCTCTAAATCAGAGGCATACCATCTCCACCCCCAGTGTCTGCACTCTAATTGTCAGCCCTGGTCATCTTTGGTCTTGACTTTAGGCTCCCAGCCTCCAAGGAACTCTATGAATGTTCCTTCTAAGGAAGTTGAGAATTTGCCAGTCACAAATGGCAGCAGGTCCCATGGTGGAGTACACATTAGAAGGAGAGATCACATGGTGAGACAAAGAGCCAGAGAAGGAAGGGGCCAGGCTTACTCTTTTTAACAATTCCTCTTGTGGGAATGAACTGGAGTTCATGAGTACTATGTTAATCATTTCCAAGAGTAGCATCCCCAAGGACCTAAACTTCTCCCCACCTCTTATAGATTCCACACCATCCCTCAACATCACCACACTGGGGACCAAGCTCCCAACACAGAAACCCCACGGAAAAATCACTTCCAAACCATAGTAGTGGTATTATGAGGATTACGGTCAGCTGTGCATGACAGAAAACTCACCATAACCCTGAAGCTTAATTCTCTCATACATAACAGAAGACCAGAGGGAGGTGATCTTGGGCTGAAACTGCATCTATGGTGGCAGAGGCACACGTTGCTTCTCAGATGCTGCCCTGCCATCCTCAATGAGTTTTCCATCTTCTGGCTCTCTCTGGCAAGGAGGAGGAAGGATGGGACAAAGGGCCCTGCATGTAGGAACACATCCCAGAGGTTGCACATACCACTTCCGCTTACATCCCCTGGACAAGAACTTAGTTATAGAGCAACACCCAGTTGTAATGGAGACCAACATGGTGGACTTCATTTCTAACAGCCACTTGCTCTGCTAAAAAGCAGGGGTTCTGTTGTTAAGGAGGCCACAGATATGATTTGTTTTCAGATTGTATCTGTTCTGCTGTCTAAAACAGATTCACAACTAGATAAGTCTCATTTCTGACACCTCTTGGGCCCTCTTAGAGGATATCAATACATGCTGAGGGAAGACAATTAACTATTCGTTAGAGACCCAATTTCCAAACCAAATCCTTCATGAGCTTTCTCTCTGGAAAGGTCCAGCTGTGTGATCGTGTGCAAATGAATAACTCTCTCTGAGTCATGTGACATTAGGAAAGTCATTTTACCACTGTAATCTGATTCTCCATTAGCTAAATGGTGATAAGAATAATATCAACCTTAGGTTATTGGACAGCTTTTGTAGCATTATGATAAATGCGAAAAAAAACATAATTTTGATAATACATTTTGTACAAACCAATATATTCAAAATCCTGTCTCAGCATGTAATCAATTGAAGTTGCTAATCAGATATTTTACATTCTGTTTTTCATAGGAAGGTTTTGGAATTCAGTGTGTGTTTTATAGCACATCTTGGTTCCGACTAGTCAGTATCATACAATAGCCACTAGAGGCTACAGATTTAGGCCAGGCAGGTTGAGACTAATATAAGTACCCTTGCTGGGTGTTCCCCTAGCAGTCTGCACTTGCAAACGAAGAAGCAATTCTTTCTGTGGTAAGTGTCTGTTCACTTAGCTTATCCACAAGCAATTCCCATGAGGGGATAGAATAAATGTCACCCCCAAACCCCAACATAGTACCTGGCATAGAGCAAGCACTCAATAAATGCTTGTTAAACAAATATTATTCATTTCTCTATCCCCAGTGCTCAGCCCAGTGCCTGACCCTCAGTAGGCATTTAATAAAGACTTAACTAAATTAATGAAGCAATGACCCAGTGTTTTAATGGTAAATGAATTTGCAATTTGACAGCAGGTGAAAACCAGGCAGTTTATTGCAGAGGAGACAATGGTACCTTTCTAACCCTCCAAGTAACACCTGCCATTAAGTCCAATTTCCTTCACTGCCTCCTCTCTCCCAAACAGAACTGGAGCCAAACTCTCAGGTCATGGGCCTTCGCATTCTGGTGAAATCGCACAATGCCTGTCTGCAATGATAAGCAAGCATATTGAGTTCCCATGAACAAATAAAATGAACCTCCAATTTTTCCATTTCACTGTATTTTTTTTTCTGACAGGTTGACTCAGTGCAGGGAAAGGTGAGAGGCTCCAAAAAGTGTCCAGCTCTGGTCCCCCTCAATCTAGAGAACTTTACAGTAATACCAATAGTATCATAATAATCAGATATTCAATGCCCGCTCACCCCTTCCCAATTTGATATGATCTGAAGCAATTCTTCTGTTGCCTTTTATGACCATTCATCATTTCTTCTCACCTGCAAGATGACAGGGATGGCATAGAGTTGTCTGTCCATACTGCCGTGAGGACCCTGGGACAGGCCCCTCATGCCCAGTGCCCCGTAACCTGGCACGGTTCTCCTGAACAATACTCACAAAGTGACACTGAGCATCATTTTTGTCTTGACAAGCAGCCAGAGACTGGGTGATTTTCTTAGAGTCCTGTGGAGCTTCCCATCCGCCCCTCCTTGTGGACAACTGAAACACAAACACTCTTTAGAAAGCCCTGGGCCGAGTCATCTCTTTGGAGCTGGTCACAAAGGCTTCATTCAGCTGCAGCTACAGCAGCCTGACGGGGCAGGGGCCTTGTCCCAAACATTCTTGATGGGGCTTCTGGGGGGAAGGTGTTACCAGCCTCCAAATATTTGTTGCTCTGTTTCCATAGCAACCACAGGGGCCATGGCAAAACCCCTGAAACTGCACATGGAAATGGGAGGTGCTGCAAAGTGAAGCCTGATGGGGAGGAGGCCTTCTCTGGGCCCTTTCCCTCCCCACAAACTGAAGATTTTTCCAGGCTCCTTTCAAAGGGTGTTAAGGAGAAGCTGTTATACTGGCTTCATGCAGACGACTACGGCTGCTCTGATGGAAAAGGAATGTGCAAGACTGTACCAATTGGCCTCGATAGGTTTTAGGAAACTTAAACCTAATTGGGAAGCCTGCTTATTGTCTACAGAGCTCTTTCAGCCTGGTGTACTGACTCTGGTTCTGGCACAAGACAGTGCCAGTAACACCACCCACTACCTGTGCAACATTGGGAAAGTCATGTACTGTCACTAAGTCCCTTCTGCTGAAATTGAGTTCAATTTAATAAAAAAACTATGGCTGCCTACTCTGAGCTAGATGCCAGAGTTTGCAAGCTAAAAACACCAGCTTCTTGCCCTCAGGAGCTCATAGAGCCTACTGGGCAGAGCTGTATTGAATAGAGGGGCCATATACCCTGTGCTCACTGTCTGGAATCCATTGGTATTGGTTGTACAATAAAAGTTTTATTTCCTTCCCTCTTCAAACTGGATTATGCCAAAGAAAACCCTGAGATGAGCAAGAGCCCAGGTAGTCTTATAACATTCTTCTTGTAATCAGGATAAATTTACCAATTTGGACATGACTGGAAGGAACTGATCTTTTAATAATTTTGTCCATCTGTCTTTGTGACAGCAGGCTTCCCCAGTCCCTATCCTATTGGACTTAATCATCCTCTAATTTGGGGAGGACAAAAATGGCTATGTCCACTCCAGATTGAAGGTGATCAAGCATAAGGTGAAATGGGTTTCCCAGGCCACAGAGGGA